GTTACTGCGGTATTTAGTTGATCTAGAATTTAAATCAATAGTCAAATGAAAGAACAGGAAAATAAACTTCGGGATTTACAAAAGTTGGAAAACGTTACTTTGGCAAATCATAACGGGGAAAGTAAAAAAAAGGCGAACCGTTTTCGGGAATATGATATTCGGGTTTCAAATTTTCGGAAGTAAAATATGTAACCACTTGCAAATTAAGCTCGCGCGCCATTAAGGTCTCCACCCGCGCGCTAAATTAACTCAGCGGCTACACGCTGTTACGTAACATGACTATTAAACTAAATAATAGCTGAACCTCGCCTAATAGATGCAAATTGTTATTAGACAGAAACCAGGGGTAAAAAGTTAATTTATGAATACACAACGAAAAAGATATGTACTCTGAAAACATTAAGGATGATTCAGGGACATTTTTACAGGCACTGTTTTGCCCCCGTTAAGACGAGTCAGGCGAAGCACGAAGGCACTACTTCCGTTTTCACAAAGGCCTCCGACGTTTTTATGTTACGTATCAAAGCTCACGGAAATTCAGATAGTGTGAAATTTGACAACTTGTGCAGAAACCTTTGATATCATATTTGAGTAATTCAAAGTTCTGTGATTACATTGTTTCGATTCACCGCGACTACTATAAGCAGCAACACGAGTTCAACCATTCAACCACTGAGAATAATTAAAGGTGCTGCTGATAATTAGACTTAGGCGAGGAACACACGCAACGTCGGTTTGTGCGTCGTTTGTTCGATTTTTCACCTTATTTTTATACGAATACGGTTTATGTCCAACGATTTGACAGACAACGCAGCGTTGTGCGATGCCGTTTGACACCAACGGTATTCATATGCAGGTAGGGTGGAGAATCGAATGAACGACGCACATACCGACGTTGCGTGTGTTCCTCGCCTTAATCCATGAAATTTGTTTGTTTAGGGTAACAGATGTGATATGAAATAAAATAAATATTTCTCTCTTCGACATTTCACAGTAATGCAAGTTATTTTTTAGGAACAATTTAAAACGAAGTCTTCTTATTTTCGTATTAGGTTTCTCTGTCTGTCGTGGAATTCACATATTATCCTCCTTAACTACGCAACAGATTTTGATGTCAAAAACATACCTAGTGGGAAACTGTTTTTTTCCCGCGGGAATACGATTTAACAGCAGGTGAAGGTTGCTAGTTCTTTCGAGGTATAATCGCAAGGCTTGACGTGCGAGTTACATTTCATTTTCAGCATTATGTAAATCAAACATGCACCAAGCTATATTGCGGGTCGTGGCAGCACCCGTACTTATGACAACTTGTGACAGACGCGGCGCCGTGTGCTGTCTTTCTTTCATTTCGAGTGAGACACTGAGTCGTTCGACCCGCAATATAGCTTGGTGCATGTTTGATTTACATAATGCTGAAAATGAACCCTGGTGGCATGAACGTATGCTGTGATATCCGGGTTTTGCATGCGATTTCGTTACCTCCTTTGTCAAAAGACCGAATCCGGGCAAACATGCGATACGTATGACAACCGTCTAAGTTCTCAAGTAACAAACTATTCAGAACATTCAACGCCCTCTGGCAGCGAGAAGTCAAAGTTCGCTTCAAGTGTCGCTCCTCCAAACTCTACAAAGTTACTAGCTTCACTAAGTTGAGCTTCATTATTTACTTGCTGACAACTTAATAGTTTAAATTAGATTCAAGTTTGAGATAATATTTCGTCTTTCGCAGTTTTAGTAACTGATTATACGGCTGTGTTGACGGATGCGTCTGTCAAACCGTTTGACATAAACCGTATTTGGACGAGTAGGTCGAAATTCGTAATGTCCTATATAGCGCAAAAATTGCATGCGTTATATAGCGCAAAAATTACACACATACAGACGTTACTTGTATTTCTCGCCTAAAAAATCTAAAACGCACCTTATGTTAGTTCACGTTTTAAAAAGCCCCTAACTACCGACAGATGCCTAACCAACCTAGACACCACCACACAAGTATACCTACAAATAATACCCCCAAATTCCATACTATAGAAACTACTCATAACACTATAGGTACCCCAAATGCACTGCAGTTTCAAACCGGCTTGCACGCAGACATGGGAACAATTTTGGTTATCCCTACACACTCGTGCGCATCGATGCACACACGCGCACACGCGTGCATCTGTGTGCGTAAGGGCAAAGGGAAATTTTGGCAATAATTTGTGGTTTAAAGTACTTTCAAGCAAATAATGTGCATCGTTTTGAGCAATAGTTTAGTTAAGTTATTCTAGAGACAAACTATAGTAATAAGTTTTGACTACGGAAAAGCGTAGCACTTTGCTACGTGTCGCAAAGCACAAGTTTAATTGCTTTAAAATTTAGGATTTCTTTTAATGACCTTGCTGTTTTGCTAATTACCTACATTTAACTGAGATAGGTAATACATTAAAATTCTAGTCAATTAAGCTAATTGAAGCACTTATTTACCTATTGAGAAGAAAGTCGCTAGTAAGCAATTAAGAAACCTTGCTAATTTCACAGATTGCATTTCGTATTGGCCCGTCGACAAGGACGTTTCTAGTCACCTGCAAAATCTAGGTAGTAGTTAAATTCACTATAATTGGTATATTAATAGCACCAAACATGTCTAATTTGCTATTGAAACTCTGCTAGAAAATAAAGAACTAGTACCTACTCAAAGGTGATTGGTTGACGTGATATTCCGATGTTTTGATCAGCTTTTTGACAGCTGCAGAATTATTACATGTTATTATACTTGTCTTTTAAATCAATATTGCATTTGTTTAATAATAAAAAAAACCTTTTTATTGCGGTATGGCGTCTGATCATACCGCAGTGAACCATGACGAGAAGCAGATCTCTCGCCTCTGGTCTGCTTTCACCGGCCGGTCAGAGTGGAGTCGCGAGAGCTCTGGGATTTAAAGTGTAGCAATATCTCTGCACTCTTAAGCTGCTCAAAGATGCTGATGCTGCTGCAATTTCTTATGCATTTAGCATTTTAATTGGGCTTATTCTGTTGAGTTGATAAGTCACCGTCTACCATTTTATCGTCGTTTGGAGACGAGCATCAAAAGATTGAAAAATTTTGGCTGGTATCTACCGGTACTTCGATATCTCAGTGGCAGAGCGGTGGGGCGTTTACACATTTGGCCCGGGTTCGATCCCCGGTCGATTCATGACAGATTTTTCAATTTCTTATTTTCATTTTATCGTGTTATTCAACATAGATCAGGCGAAATTCTCAAGGATATCAGTAAATATTGATTGAAAAGCATTTATAACGTATTTTCTTCAGTTATAAAATTGCCTCACAATATTTTTGCGAGTTGGTAATGCAACATCAATGTAAACATGTCTGTATTTGTTCCTCCATGTAAGGGTAGCAGGTTCATGTGTGTGTGAGATTAATGCCTGTGTATCTGTGTTTGTGTGTGTGTTGGGTGAAGGCGATCATTATTCGTAAGTACTAGAGGATAGGCTGCTCCAGTGCATCGGGTTTGGGTACCGTGGATCAATTACGAAATACCTACGTAAAAAAATTAAAAAACGCGATATGCTATTCTATGTACTATGCAAAACATTCATACAGCTAAATATATCATATGCCTGAACCTTAGAGTAAGGCCTGAACTAGGATACACCTGTGTTTTACTTTTGTTTCTAGAGACTCGCCATTTTCTAAGAAATCATAGGATGGAACTGTCAAAAATACTCTTACATTTAATTTGATAATACGTAGACATAATTGTCAAAACGTTTATTTATACCTTGAAATATTATTTTGACGTACCTCTAGTTTATACGGTCGTGAAAAAATATATATTTTACATTTATTGCAGATTTCACATAGAAATGTCTTTATTTGTTACTTTCTAATTATACCATAATTAAAATGATTAGAGACTAAATTAACTAATCCCGTGGCTTTGTTCGCTCACAAGTTATAATTAGGTATTTACTTTGTGCCTCTCATCAATTAGCTACCCTGAAACTTTCTCTGAAACACGTTATTTGATAAGGGAGGCGGGATACGTACTACCCATTTATTATGATTAATTAGTTTATTTACATATATCGGGTGTAAATAGCCGAAAGTAGGTCAAGAAACTGAACAACTTTCCCCATGAAACATGGGTCAAAATAAGAAAAAGAATTATACCTTCCATACAAAATTGCCGATTAGGTGATTGATTTGCTATGGGAGGTACCTACATATTTTTTTAAAATATTTCTGCCCATGTTCCATGAAGAAAGTTTTCAGTTTCATGAGTTATTCTTTTGTTACTCCTATATTACTTACTATAGATTCTTGGATACCTAGTTAATATTTTCAGCACCCACATCGCGGTTTCTGATAGGCTTTAAAATTTTATATAAATAGTAAATATGTGATTGAGTTTTTATGAAGAACCCAAGTCTCTCACGCACACAGCGAAATCAAACCACCAAAAATCGGTCGTCGGTCCGCGCCGGCGCATAGGTCAAATGCACTCTCTGTCCCTCTCTGACACGCGGAGTGAGTGAGAGGGAGATAGTTCTACTACATGCAGCCAAAAATGCAGTTCTGCCTGGTGTAATCGGTAGACGGAGGTCAAATGTACTCCCTTGTTCTCAATTTTTATGGCTGGGTTTAATTTTGGCTTCAGCGTTTCTAATCATTAAACAAAGTATATTACATGCATGCATAAGTACCTACATACATTATATCACGCCTATATCCTTTGCGAGTAAGAGCGTATAAACGGCTGTAAAAAACGACCATTTACACCAGTCTGGCAAAATTTTGAGAGTCATTCAGAAGACAGTGTGTGTATCACAGTTACAGGTTGTCAGCCTGTCGCCTTTACAAAGCACATCATCAACTTTCAAATCACTTAGTCGCTTCTTACGACACCCTCAGGAAAAATACAGGGTGATGCTATTCGAAGCCTAAGCCCATATCAATGGTAGTTATTCTTCATCTATCATCAATAGTACCTAGGTAGGTAACTGATGAAAACAGGGGTAGTGGGACTGCCTGCCTGCGAGGCAGTAGGTTCCGGGTTCGATTCCCGGTGGGTTCCATCCAAATCTGGTTAGGACATTGTAGGCTGAATCACCTGATTGTCTGAAAGCAGTTCCAATTGTTCCTTGCTTTGGAGGGAACGCTAAGCCGTCGGTCCCGGTTGCTGTCTATTACTTAGTCAGCGGTCATTATCCAAAAATTTCAGAACAAATCTGACACCATGGTGTCATCGGGTCGTTGAACGACTCGGTGTCTCCCTCGAAAAGAAGAAGAATACTACTAGGTACACACAACAATTCACTCATTAGGCTGCTGAACGGAAAATCTTTCCAACCTAGACACATTTTGAAATATCGCTAGAATACTGTAACATCTAAAGGACATAATAGGGTTTACAATGTCTTTGGTCTGCCCTTTGTCATAAAATATTACGTAGCAGTAGACACCATCCAACGTGTATTTTACTCAAATTAATAATTATTTAATCAAGAATATCCAATAACAGTCTTGCCATGAGGGTTTCTTAACTTCAATAGATATTAGTGCCTTCTCTCGTGATGAAATCGATTGGGGGACTTCAATCTCGTCTGGGCCTTTAACGAAGCCCTAAACTGTAAATTTAAAGAAGCGAATTTTAGAACCAGTAGTAAGATTTCGCATGGACCAAACCAGCGAACGGATATTGAAAGATTTCGGATTATCCGTAAGTTTTGGAAAGATTCAGTTACGGATATTAAGTAAAACCAATAGGTACTTTTCTTAAAGTCTATCTGGTAAACGTAAAAATACTGCTATTTAATTAGGGCTATACCACAAAATAAAACGGAAGATGCATAGATCGCGCGCAGCATGTCTTCTCAACAATAACTAGCCGTAACGGGACTTATTATTCGAAACTTTCTTTATACGTTACATGGCATCGCTGCACCAAACTGTACAAAGTGTATGCACACTCGCAACCGTTCTCGTAACATACGTTCTACTACACTAATCATTTACTAAGTTTAAACCGCAATATCACAAAAATTGGATCTCGAGATAAATAAGTTAGGCTTGAATGTGTTTTTGGTGCATGCGAAACCTGAATTCTACTGATTTAAGAATTCGTCGGTTTTATAAATCGCATCTCATTAGTTCAAATTCAGAGGCTGCCATCGTTACTTCGGCCGGAGAACGATTATCAGAGTTTTCACCGACGAACTAATTTATAGGCGTGGGCTGCTTTTAAAGAGTTTGGGCCTTGATTACTGAGCGTTCGCGGACGGAACAATTAAATAGATATCGCAAAACTCAGTTGACTGACAGTATTAAATGTAACCCCTTTAAACGATCTCATATAAAACTGTAATATTGTAATAACGAACATAAAAGCATATAAAAACAGCTATATATTCCGAAAACATTACCCATTTCGCTTGGCAGTATCGGGTAATAAAACCGATGATAATGAAGTAATTTTCTTTGTTCTCCGCTCGCGTGGTTGTGCGGAATAATCTTAAACAATTTTCAACAGTACCTAGCAGGAATTACATACAGAAATCACGCCTTCATCCGTTGCAGTGTAGGCAGAGCGTCAACGGCCGTAAAAATACGCCACGTCTGACAAATATTTGAGGCCCGTTTTAGCTACTGTCATGTATTGTATCACTATAGAGACAAATACAATGAATATGGTTTATGTCAAACTGTTTGACAGGCGCATCCGTCGACGCAACGTTGTGCTATATTTTTGCACTAGCGGAATCGTCTGTCAAACCATATGTCATAAACCGTATTTGTATGAAAATAAAAAATATTAAATAATTTTAAGTGTAATCGTATTTTACAATCGCAACGGACAGCGCTGCACAAGAATAAAGCACTAGAAGACGTTACGTGTGTTTCACTTTCTATCCAATACCCATCCGAAATGACCTTCCTTCAAAATATTTGTCACACGTGGCGATACTACGAGACCTTCGCTATACGGCCGTTTACGCTCTACCTAACCTGAAAGGTATTAGGCGTTATGTGTGGTCTTTGTTCACTTGCGTGGTTCTGTCAAATAATCTCAACCAATTTCCCACATACAAGCCTCGGAACGATATTTCCTCCGTAGTGCTAAATAAATACCTCTACTATTTTACTGGCTGAAAGCGCGTTATGTGCACAAAGTAAGTAATGGCGGACGCCCAATACAGAAAGCCGGCTACAAGGAAACGTCGCTAAACTCACACACACATACGGGGTGTTAGGGACGGTGTAACGAAAACTTTGCAGGCATGACCAGACCATCAAACTGAACAACTTTTACTATGGAGCCAATGGTGGGAAACGAAAAAAAAATTCCGACCTCCCATACAAAATTCACGATCAGCTGACTGACTTTGTATGGGAGACCGGAATTTTTTTTTCGTTTCCCACCATAGGCTCCATAGTAAATGTTGTTCAGTTTGATGGTCTGATCATGCCTGCAAAGTTTTCGGTACACCGTCCCTAACACCCTGTATACGCGCTGTCGTTTACGCGCGATCTCGAACCGGCTGGCTAGTAGTAATTGTTAACAGCGTTTGGTGCGAGTGGACGGCCAAATGATGGCTCGCAAGTGTAAATATTTTTGTATAGCGTGTCATAGTGTAAGTTTGATGTAATGTAATTGATGTACCTAAGAACGTTTGATCCAGGTGTCGCATTTCATAAAATCAGAAAGGAAAAGCAACCCTAGAGCGTAGGTAAAAATGATCGTTAAAAGAAGCGAGCTGTCCTTCTGTGAATTCTCTATTTTGTGTTATGTGCCAGTTACTGGCGCCGAGCTTGTAAATCATGTCAGTAGGCCCTGTAAGGGTCCCTAGGGGGCCCTGGTTCTCGCAACGTGTTATATCTGAATAAATAAACGCTTTCTTGGTGGTATAGTTCTAGTGTCGTCTGTACATTGTAAACAATGATAAAGGCTTTTCTATCCGTGCGTGCTCTATCTACTTTAGCCTAGCCATACCTATACCTAGGGCGTAACAAAAAGGGTAAAACAAGACTAAAGGAGGTCAAGGTACTCATGAAACTGAACAACTTTCCCCATAAATAATGGACAAAATTTGAAAAATATTGGACCTACCATACAAAATTGTCGATCAGCTGATTGACTTAATTTGATTTAGGTATTATGGGAGGTTCAAATTCATTTTATAAGTGGAAAATTGTTTAGTTTCATGAGTACCTTGACCTCCATTCGTCTTGATATAGTTTTTTGTTATTCCCGGTATAACTCAGATGCAGCTTACTGATACTTTTTGTACACGAAACCGTGATAGCGATTAATTTATACGCAGTTCTTTTATTAAAACTCATCCAGATAGATTTTCCTCCGTATCTTCTCTATATATTGTCATATTTATATGACAGAAATACATAAATCATTTGAGTATCTACATAGGTAACTGCTACGTTTAACGTTGCTCATAAAATTTTTTGTTCCTAACATAATAAATTACCTTAGTAGCTTCATCTAAAGGAGCTCAAGTAGGTAAGGAACAATTTACCGCTGTCTAAAAGAGATTGCTAATGTTAGCATAAGTAGCTTTTTAAGTAGGTATGAGATAAGATAAGCTAGTCTACTTCCCAAGTTATACTATGGTATTCGTTTTCACAGTTTGCGGCTACAAGAACGTTAGAATGATTCTGAGTTAATATTAATCCAAGAAATGTGACCTTTGTGGCATCTTTAGTTACCTTGAGTTCCTCTGAGATTCCAGTTACTTCCACTTAAAGTCAGTAAGTGTCAAAATCGTTGCTATTATTGAGTGAGCCATATGTAAATCAGCCCCCTGCGTCGTTTTCTTAATTTGTGGCTTCAGCAAGATGGCATATGTCATGCTATGGTGAATGAAACTTTCGACAAGACTCGTCACAGTCGAGCGCCTGATGTTATTATACGAGCAAACCTCCCGCGGAGTTTGCTGTTTGTTATTCACCAGGCGTATTTGTTCGTATTTGTTAAGCTCTTGTTGATGTTATCTGTGTTCTTTCTCTAGTTCTCTTTTATTATACCTAGTATGGGGCTAAATATGCGCTTGATGTATATTTTCTGCAGACTAATTTTTGAAAAATTGTTTAGGACGAACAATTGCATTGCTTAAGAAAAGTCACGAAAGTATTACATACTAGGTCTTAAAATGGTATACAGGGTGTTAATTTAAATGCGTGCCTTTAGGGTTTAGTTTCGATAAAGAATACTGTGAAAATGTTTTAAAAAATCCTGGATAAAATATTTTTTTTTTATTCAAAAGTCTATCTTAGCCAAATTAAAAAATCCTGGATAAAATATTTTTTTTTTATTCAAAAGTCTATCTTAGCCAAATTAACACCCTGTAGGTATAAGTTATATCAGCATGATTCCAGGCCAGCGATTATCTGAAACCATGCAACTTGTTAATTACTTCATTATTATGCTCAATTATTACCTTAGTTTGCGCTTCAGTAACTTTCGTAGCTTGAAGCCAACTTGTAAAGATCTTGGTGAATAGGTACAAAACTAATTTTACCCATGTTATGTTAGCTTAGATAGGTATTAACACCTACTATAAGGTCGTATTAAATTCACTGCATATATTTTAGGGGCAGATCAAATACAATATAAGCATGTACTAGGCAAATTTTTAAAGAAATCTACACGCTAGTTTTCGAGAAAATTGCATTTAACTAAAAAAAAAACAAAACGAAAAAATGTTCAGCCTGTTTGTCCTAGAAACACACACTTCGATGAATTTAAATTACGCGCCAAAAAAAGGTGCTGTGATTGGTGGGTTGTTAGTGTGCGTGCCGTGTAAGTGAATCCTGTTTACGTGGCGGAACGTCAGTCGGGTCAGTCAAAGGATGTTCACATAATTAATTAAAAAGTTTGATTGAAAATTATAAAAAAATCTAGCATGTAGATTTTTTTACAAATGCTTTAGATGTGTTTCTTATACATATTTACGCATGCCCTTAAAATATTTGCAGTGAATTTAATAGGACCTTATACAAGCTGTCGGAACATAAGTAGATAAGTACACGGAAACTAGCCACATTATCCACAGAAAATGT